GCTGAAATCAAGAGTCAGACGCTTAAGCAACTGAGCCACCCAGGTGCCCCTAAACATATTTTTAAAAATCAATATAATGCTCTAATGATAACATAAAGGCAAAATAATAAGAAAGTAAGTAATTTATAGCAAAATAACATGCATTTCAACATATATGGCTTAGGTACAAATATACTAGAAAATACATATAAGGAGGTAGTCAGATTCTATACATAGAAGCAATCGCTGAAATGCGGACAAGTCCAGATGTGTTATGGTGATGACTCACATACTTTGAGTGGCACTGCCATCGATGACAAAATGACAAAAGATGAAGAAGTCATTGTAAATCTACAAATTATGTCAGTCTTGATTTCTATTATAGCTGTATTCCTTTAAAAAAAATTCAGTATAGGGGCACCTGGGTGACTCGGTTGGGCATCGGACTTTGGTTCAGGTCACAATCTCATGGTTTCTGAGTTTGGGCCTGGCGTGGGGCTCTGTGCTGACAGCTCAGAGCCTGGAGCCTGCTTCCAATTCTGTCTCTCTCTCTCTTTAACCCTCCCAAACTTGCGCTTGTCTGCCTCTTTCTCAAAAATAAATGATAAACATTTAACAATTTTTTTTTAAAAATCCAGTACATATGAGAACAACACTAAAAATTCTGCTTTTTATGTACAAATGTTGCACGTATGTGTAAAATTGTGCGATCGACCAATGTTTGTGTCTCCCTCACCCCAAATTGATGTGAAATCCTGATGCCCAATGTGAAGGTGTCAGGAAGTGGGACATTAAGGAAGTGATTAGCAGTGGAACCTTCATAAATAGAATTAGTACTATTATAAAAGAGACCCCAGAGAGTTCTGTCATGTGAGAAGACCAGACACATGTCCCCACTTGAGGACACGAGACGATGGCCGTCTGCAGTCAGGGGGAGCTGTCAGTCGAACTTGGCTGTGTGGGCATCCTGAGCTCGGTGTTCCAGCCTCCAGAACTGTGAGAAATAAATTTCTGTTGCTTATAAGCCACCCAATCAATGATATTCTGTGATAGCAGCCCACACGGGCTACGACAAACGGTTACATTCTAGGCTCAGATAGTGACCGTTTTGTTTTTTTTAAACCTACATGAATGTTTCAGAAGGGCTTTTGGAAGTTGGACAGTATGCGGAACAATTCTTCTCCCAGGCATACTGTAACAAACAGCATCCCTGCCCCTGCCCCTGAATTCCACAAGTGCTGCGCAACCCAGCTGTCACGACAGGAAACAGTACGCCAACAAACTTGCAGAGTGCCCCTAAAGGTGCTTCTGCCCTCATTGAGAACCGCTGGTCAAGAGCAAAAGGGCCTCCCTTCTGCCCTCACATATGTCCTTCCTCTAGCTCTCAGACGACAGGGAGATTTGCCTCCTTCCCCACAAAAGTGGCCCCAGGAGAGTACTTCAGTGGGACATTGTCTCCAGCTCAGATGTAGAGTACATCTCTATCTTGATCTTTCCGCGTCTGTCATTTGGGACGTCACACACAGCTTTGGAAGGAGTTTCAAAAAGAATTAGGAGGACATGCAAATGATGAGCATACGACACCCGGAGCTGTGTTAGAAATACCAACATAGGGTTTCTAGGGTGTGGGCAGACAGCTACCGGCATCAAATGTATTTATCAAAAATACAGAATCCAGGGCTCCACCCTGCACCTCTGAAATCAGATCTCCAGATCATGTGGCCATCGAATCTGCACGTTTAAAAATGTTTATTTCTTTATTTTGAGATAGAGAGAGAGTCCCAAGCAAGCTCCATGCTGTCAGCACGTGCCCCACGCAGGGCTCCATCTCAGGAACGGTGAGATCATGAACTGAGTAGAAATCAAGAGTCGGCTTTTCCACTCTTTTCAAAGAGGATTATTTCTGATGACATAAGCAAGGAACGATTTCATATTCTAAATGCCCTTTTATGTTAAAATAAGGGAAATCCTAGAAAAGGATGTCCCTAGGTTTGGACAAGCTTTTGAGGGTACAGAAATTCTGCATATAATTCTTCCTGGGCATAAAGAACAGTGAGGGAAGTGTAGCCCATGTCATTATTATGGCCGCTATGAGTCAAACAAGGTTTAAAAAAATTCATATCTCTTTATATAACTGTAGACACACTAGCTCTTCTCACTTGTGCTCCAAGTTTGGTTTGCTCGCATTTTAAAGAGTTTTGATTATTCCACTGGTATTAAATGATAATGGCGATGATGATAGTGATAATAATATCTTACCCAAGGGCACAGCGAGTGCTGTTTTCCAGAATAGAGCACCTTAAGCCTCCTTCATTTTTAAAAAATTTTTAATGTTTATTTTTGAGAGAGAGAGAGAGAGGGAGAGAGAGCACGCACAAGTGGGGAAGGGGCAGAGAGAGGGAGACACAGAATCCAAAGCAGGTTCCAGGCTCTGAGCTGTCAGCACAGAGCCTAACATGGGGCTTGAACTCACGAACCATGAGATCATGACCTGAGCCGAAGTCGGAGGCTTAACCAAATGAGTCACCCAGGCGCCCCGCCTTAAGCCTCCTGTAAATAGTAACTCCCTAACATCTTTAGATTAATTTGAGGGAACAAAAAAAAAATTTCTTTCTAAACCATGTGACTTTAAAAACATCTATTATTGCAAGAGGATATCTTTTTTATACCTGCAACTCTGAATATTGGCAAAAGAAAGCATTATTGAATGCCTTCTTGCCGAGGGCCAGCAGAAACAATTGCCAGGCTAATAATTCAGAGTATGAATTTTGCTTGACTTCTTATCTGAGTGAAAGGGAAGCTGGTACAAATAATAAGGTCATCTGGCTGAAACTTTTGGAACACTAATTTACTGGAACATTTTAAGGTGGCCTTTTGCATGATTACATATGGTACGAGGAGCTTGTGCTAGGAGTCTTGGGCACAATTCTTCAGAAATGTAGGGTATTGGAGATTTCTGGGTCTCTGGAAGAAGTTCTAAGTGAAGGTCCTGGCTCCTGAGTTACAGTAAATTGTGCTCCCGGACTGACAGCCACCACTTTCTGATTAACCGACAGTCACCTGAAGGGGAGAGTAGGAGCGCCCTCTAGGGGAGAGCTGGCTACCCCTGGGTGCCGTGCCCGGGCACCTCCCGTTGCTTTCTCACTGCCGTGTCTTTTTTCTCCATATACTCCATGAAATATGGCTGTGGTCTTATTAGACATGGCGTCAAAGGAGATTCAGTACAGATTATATTCTGTGTGTGCTGTCACACATTCAGAGGCCTTGCCAGATAAATGACGCAAAAAAAAAAAAAAAAAAAAAAACCATGAACAGCAGCAGAGAGGACGGCATTTCGGTACCCTCTGAGCTCAGCCACAGAACGTGGCCCAGCATCACCGCCAGCATCTAAGGAGAAGCAGACAGGATGTCTTCTGGGCGTATGACTCTCCTCTCCTGATTTACAGGGGCTTTTAAAAATCACTTTATCCTGCATTGTTTGAAGGAGGTGGCTAAGTAGCGTAATTTGTGGTTAAGATCACAGACTTTGGAGCCTATTTTTCCTTGTCTATTCCCGTTTCTCTACCCCTAGTACTACTGTGCTTATTGCCACAGCCACTGACTGGTTCCGCTCATGGGTCTCCCTCTCCTCACTGCTGCCGGGATCTTTCTAGGCAATAAGATCAGACATACTCACAGTCCTCAAAGGCGCCCCCAGCCTTTAGGATATTATCCCCAGGGTATATGGTACCACCCGCCCTCCAGTGATATCTCACCTACAGCCCCTGCTCTGCAAATCCCAGGCACCAACCCAACTACAACCCATCCTTGTGCGAAAACTCCAGTCTTCCCAGGCGGGTTTGGGGTGGGGGTGGGTGCAAATGCCCACCGCGGCGACTTGTCATTCTTGCCAAGTTCCTTTGCCTCCTGGCAAAGCCAAGACAACAGGCTGGGCCTTACTCCTTTGAGTATTACTCAACACCCAAAGTCTGCACTCAGGGATATTCGAAAAGTACTTTACAGTTGGCACAGCGTTTCTCACATCTGCGGATCTAATCCTCACAACGCTCAGGTAGCAGTATTTTCTAATCATACATGCAAGGGGACTGAGGCTCGAAAAGGTCCGTGGCCCACGTTGCACTCTCCAGTGGCAGAACCGGTCCTGAAGCCCGTGGTTCTCTGGGAGGACGACACGTTGGACTGAGAATTCTACGGACTTTGTGTAAATCCCGACCCGGCCATGCACTGGCTGAAGCACTGACTTCACCTCCCTGCGCCCGCGTTCTCATCCTTAAAGAAGACAGGATTCCATTTCGGGCTTGTTATGAGGATTAAAGAAAACAATGCCTATGGAGTGTCTAACAGTGCCTGGCTCGCAGCCGGAACTATAAATGTGAGTTCCCTTTCTGACCCCAAGCTTGGCGAGCTGCTTCTCCTATTTCCACAGCAGCTCCTCCTTCTCTGAGCTCCGGAGGCCACGGGCGGTGCCAACTGTAGAGCACGGTGCCCGCTTTGACGCGATAGCTGCATCGGGGACCAGCAATCCTTAGAGGAGTGCGGGGACTACGCGCACAGCTGTGAGAAGACAGCGGGCAGGGAACTGCGAGAACCCAGGAGGCAAGGGGTGGATGGAGGGGCCTGTGAGCGGCGATGGTCAACAACGGAGGGGGGGCTGGTACCCCACCGCGCACACCCCCAGGGGGCCACTCACGTCTCCCGGACATCCAGTCTCCCGCAAGTGGCCGGTGTCCGCCTCTCTCCCACCCCCCTTCACCCTTGCCGCTTCCTTCCCTCCCCAGCTCCTGGCACTGTCCTTAGAGCCTCGAGAAGCAAGGAGGGTCCCAGGGCGAAGAACGCCGGGGGCCGCGGCGGGCGCGCGAGCGCTCGGAGCTCAGGCCCCGCCCCCTGCCCTCCAGCCCCCACCCCCGCCGCCGGCTGGCGGGAGGAGGGACATGCGCACGCGGCGGCTGGGCGCAGGGCGCGGGGAGGCGGGGGAGCGCGCGTGCAGTTCCTCCCCGCCGGAGCGGGCGGGTGCTGCGGGGAGCTGGGCGGCCGTGGGCGGGGAGCCGGACGCAGGAGCGGGGCGCGCGCAGCCGGCGGACGAGTGCGGGTGTGCGGACCCGCGAGCCCGGAGCGCAGCGTCTAGGGGATGCGAGCGGCGCGGAGCCGCCGCGCTGTTGTGCCGGGCGAACTCGAGCGGCAGTGACCTCAGCGAGGGGAGAGCGGGACGACGGCGGCCGCTCGCCCCGCGAGGATCCTGGGGACCAGGGGTGCGCCGGGAACGGCGGCGGCGCGGGAACGCGGGGCGCAGACCGGGCGGGGCTGGGGGACAGTGATGAACGGGCGCGCGGAGAGGCTGCACGCCGCCGCCGCCGCCCGGAGCATTTGCCGCCCGAGCTGCAGCTCGCGGCCCGGGACCCGGCCATGGAGACGCTGAACGGCCTCGCGGGCGGCGGCGCCCCGGAGGCGAAGCCGCTGCCGGCCGGCCAGCACCACCGCCACCATCACCTCCACCCGCTGGCCGAGCGTAGGCGGTTGCACCGCGCGCCCTCGCCGGCCAGACCCTTCCTCAAGGACCTGCATGGCCGGCCCCCGGCGTCCGGCCCGGCCCCGGCCGCCCCCTCATCGGGCCGAGCCCAGGCGCCCGCCGCCCCTCGCTCGCCCAACCTCACAGGCAAAACGCCGCCTTCGCCGGGAACCCTGGCCGCGCCCGGCCGCCTCTCTCGGCGCAGCGGCGGCGCCCCTGGCGCGAAGGACAAGCCGCCGCCGGGAGCAGGGGCCAGGGCAGCGGGCGGCGCCAAGGCCGCTCCCGGCCCCAGGAGGGTGGCGCGCACGGCGCCCGCGGAGCTGCTGCCCCGGGCAGGGAGGCCGCCGCCGCCACCCGGGACCGAGCCGCTGTCCGCCGCTGCCAAGGGCCGCAAAGCCAAACGCGGTTCCGGGGCGCCCCCGGCCCGTGCCGCCGGGCCGCCGGTCTCCGCCGCCCCGATCCCCGCCGTGATCCTCGCCGTGACCTCAGCGGCCGGCTCTCCGGCTCCCGGCTCGCGCATCAGCCACACGGACAGCAGCTCCGACCTCTCCGACTGCCCCTCTGAACCGCTGTCCGACGAGCAGCGCCTGCTCCCCGCCGCCAGCAGCGACGCCGAATCTGGCACGGGCTCCAGCGACCGGGAACCGCTGCGAGGAGCCCCTACGGCGAGCCCCGCAGCTCGGGGGGCGCCGCCAGGCAGCCCCGAGCCCCCCGCGCTCCTTGCCGCGCCGCCCTCCGCCGGCGCCTGCCTCGGGGGTCGGAGCAGCCCCGGCGGGGTCCCCGCGGGGTCCTTGGGAACTGGTGTGGCAGAAGATGCCGGGGGACGCGCGCCGCTGGAGCGAACGGTCCCCGGGATCCCCAAGGAGCCCGGTCCAGGCGAGCCGACCCGACTGGTACCGGCGGCCGCCGTGGAGGAGGAGCTGCTGCGGGAGATCGAGGAGCTGCGCTCGGAGAACGACTATCTCAAGGTGAGCAGCCGGCTCCGCCGCAGGTGTCCCGCAGGCGACCCCCAACGGGGACGCGCGAGCCCTGCCTGCCCGGCCCTGACAAGCCGGTTCTCTCCTCTGCCCTTCACTTTCCCGCCTCCGCACACACGGGGCATTGGCAACTTAAGCCAAAACTTCTGGAAGGAGCAGCGAGACCTGTGGGTCCGGGCGGGTTCTCACCCCACTTAGCTTTTCTTGGTGTCTTGAAGTCTTGCTTCGTATTGCTGATGCCTTTGCCTCTGTTGATGTGCTGGGAGAGAGGTGGCCAGAACCACATCTTGGATACACAGCCCACCCTCCGCCGGGCCAAAACATGCCCGCCCTCACCTGTGGGATCTGGCTACCCCTAGATAGGGGGGAGCTCTGGGCCAGGCCTAGCGCAGGTGCCTGTAGGGTTCCAGTGGGCCAGGCTGCGGATGTGCCAGATGCAGTTAGAGAACGTGAGACCCCCTCTGTTTTCGGCGGGGGTGGGGGTGGGAGGGGCTCCCTGTGTTTCCTGATAAACCTTAAGTTCAGGGGTCCCACGAAGGTGGCTTGTGTTGAGGGACCAGGGGTTGGTGGGTTTGGCCTGCGGGTCCCTTGTAGGCGTCCACAAGCTGGATCTTGGTGTCAGGAGAGGCCACTTGATTTCCCCCAGCACCGCCAGCACTTTCGAGGGAATTGCAAATCTCTGCCCCCCGTCTCTTGAGTATTCTTCCTGAGAGCCTGCTAGCAATGGCCTCTTGGTCTTGTTAGCTTTGGGGCACCCAATCTGGAGGTTGGTCCTGCAGAACAGAGGACTTACAGTGTTGGGGGGCAGTGGTCAAGACAGTTGAAGTCACTTGAGAAGAAATAAGGGGGGTTAGTGCTGGCGCAACTGTTTTAATTATTGTAATCTTCAAGTTAGTAAATAACTACAGTGGTATCCATCTTCTCATGTTTCTGTTAAGATGGTAACCTATATCTCCTCCCAAACTAGCCGATGTCCCACCTTCATCTGCGTGATGGGATTTGTGCTTTTTCTCAGCAAACCCCAAACCTACCCAAAGAGGCCCAGGTTTTGGCCAGTGGGACCAAGGGCATGCACTTTTAAGGTGGTCAAGTGTGCAGTTCAGACTGACGACAGAATAGGTTCACTGCTGAGTTATCTGAACCTAAACTTATCGGGAGCTGCTCTCCCCGCTGAGCCCAGTAGTTGTTTTGTCTGCAGAGAGGTGGCAGCGAGGCAGAGGAGAGGTGAGAACAGATTGGGAGTTGGGAGTAAGATGTGTTAAGTAGTACATTTGCCTATGTCACCCACTCTTACGTAACAGACAACAGTGATTTTCAAAGGTGCTGAAGAGAAAGGGCCGTGATACAATCCGGACTCCATTTTGAAATCGCCGCTTTTGTAAATCTTCAACAAATGCAAAGTCCCGAAGGGCCAGAATGATTACCTTGTTGGGTTATTGCTGCAGCTCTCAGCATGAACCCGGACCCGCAGTGTTTCTGATTAAATGATGTTTATCCAAATCACGACCTGCTAAGCGACGGAAAATTGAGGGTTTCATAAAAGATGTTTCTCATTGCATCTTTGATCTTCAGGTAGGCAACAGTCATTTCAGAGTTCATTCCGAGGTAACTGTTTATTTGCTTTATCTTTTTCACGTGGGTAGAGTCTCAGTGAATGAAATAGGTGTCTGACTCTGGAGTCTGATCTGGTATGTTTGATATTTCGGTGAGTCTTCGCAACAACATACGGTATAATTGTTGTTATATTTATCGTAACCCCAATTTCACAGACAAGTATGCTGATGACGCAGAAAACTGAAATGACCAGCCCAAGGCCATGGAGCTAGGAGGAGGGACAGCTTCTATCTTCCCTGCCCTCGGAGCCTTTGCTGTTTTCACTGCACCAGGCTGCATCCCTGTTCTCAGCAAGCCTGCTTTGCTCAGTGTATACCGCTTGCTTTCGAGTTGTTCTATTAGCTTGAACTGTTCCCAATGTTTAGCTTTCCTAGGGGGCCTCTTTTCATTTTAGGCCAAAGGCCATCATGAACCCCTCTCCTCTAGCCTGTGTACAGATGGTCATATAAATCCCACTGACAGTGTTTAATTTGTGGGAAATGTTCAGTTGCTGTTTCCTGTGGAGAAAGTGTCACGGCCAACCATTTACTCTGCTTGAGTGCATCTCCTGTCAGCAGGAGAGACGCGGAGCAAGAGGAGCTCTGGAAGAGACTAGGAAGCCAGAAGTGTGCTCATAAAGATGCATGTGAGTTACGGATTCGGTGACTCCGAAGCTTACGTTACAATAGTTCAGTTTGGGAGAAAACAGCAATCCTGGCAGACTTCTCTAGAGGTCCGCGGGCACGCCCACTTGTGCAGAATGGGGCTGTGAGCACAGTGGCCTCAAGGGGCAGAGGCAGGAGGCTTGCCTTGGCACGGGGTGTGGGGAGCGCGCGCCTTCTAAATCAAACGTCGCTCTCGTTGCTCATTGGTACTTTTTTCTCACGGTAGATCGGTGTGCATCCTTGATCTGCTTTCTTAACGATTTGTTGCACAGAACTCTTGTGGTGAGACAGAGCATCCCTCTATTCAGATGGTACCTAACAAGAAGAGGCTTGGCCTAGAAACTTGACGTTGGTTTCTGGAGGACTGTGAACCATGTTCAGTGCCCCATTCTTTCCCAAGTCAGTTCTGTCACCAGTACTGCACAAGACTGTCACACTTCTGGGCTAGAGTGACCAAAGGGGTAATCAAGCAGAAACAGGCCTGCAAACCCATAGGGCGATGGCTTACTGATGGAGAAGTTCAAGTGGAATTCTCTCTGCTTTTAGCCACACTGCTGTATTTTTAAAAATAGACGTCAAGAGAGAAGTATATACCTTTGGTTGAGCAGTGTGGGGCTGTTTGGGAGCGTCCCGGACCCTGCTTTCTCTTCTTGATCAGAGGGCACCCAGTTAACTAAATGAAAGCTGCACGATTAATCCAGGTGGCTGGCTTTTTGCGTGAACACACAGTCAGGAAAGCAGGCTTGTCCCTTTACCCCTGATGAACTTGGATATATTTGGAAGTCTTCAGAAATTAAGGTGAGCAGTTGAATTCACCTGTCCAAAGGCCTTTGCTTCATTTTCACACTGAACCCAGGCATGTTTCTCGGTGCTGAAAGCATCCACAAAACGCAGTTGGTGTGTTCCTTTCTGCCTGCCTGCCTGCCACCGCCGTGTTTTGCTCAAGCGCTCTGAGACAATCGGACCAGCCTCAGTGCTCATTGTGAACATATTAATTATGTTCTCTGTTTCCACAGGCTTTTCAGGAGGATTTAATCAGTGTGAGTTTATTGACCTATTTTGAAAATGCTTTTCTTTTTCAAAAAATTTTTTAAATGTTTATTTTTGAGAGAGAGAGAGAGCGTAAGTGGGGGAGGGACAGAGAGAGAGGGAGACACAGAATCTGAAACAGGCTCCAGGCTCCAAGCTGTCGGCACAGAGCCAAAGGTGGAGCTGTGAGATCATGACCTGCGCCAGAGTCTGACGTTTAACCAACTGAGCCACCCAGGCGCCCCAGAAGCGCTTTTGGAATTACTGGTGATGAGCTCACAACGCCCCCTCCGTGCGTGCACAAATAGTGTTCTCCAAAAGTGGCAGTGCCCTGCAGGATGGATGCAGGCGGGTGGGGGGAAGGCCTGCTTATTTGTGCTCTGCTTTCTCTGTTATTCCCTAAGAACTATTTCTGGTTAAAACAAAAGTCACTGCTAGCTACTAGGGTGGGCAACATCCGATCCTTTGAGATCCGATCCTTTAGGGAGTGATTCCCTAAAGGTGATGATTGGTGAGGTCATTTTTTATTTTATAGGCTGCAGCGTATCCCCTCTGATCCAGCCTTACCAGCCTGTTTCTCACCTGAAGTAGTCTTTTAAGTTTCAAGCTCTGAAATGGTTTGTTAAACTGGGCTGCTTGGATGCCAGGTGCTCGGCCCAGCAGTTCTGAATGGCTAAAGAGTTGAGCTCCTTCTCTCCCTTTCTTTTGGAAGGGTTAATGTGGACAGTGTTCCTATTCTTTCCTGACATTCCCCTTTCCACGCCCACTCTTTATTCAGCCGGCTAAAGCGCGGCTGTGATCATCTTAGGTGGCAAGATAATGTAGACCGGGACAAACAGAGCCCATCAGCTGCTGGGTGAACTGTCACTTTGTAAACAATGGTAGCGGCCCCTGTGCCTTCTTAGCTACAGCTGGGACTGTGCAGAGAACATTTTCATTGTCCGCAGGGAAATGAGGTGGATTATTTGTATATTACAACAGACAATAGTTTCTGTCTGTAACTCCCAGAAGATGGAATTATTGCAACAATAGCCAGATGACTGCTCCCCTCTCCAAATTGGGGTCTGTTTAAAGAAGCATTATTAAGATATTAATGTAGAACTAGTTATGATTTTGGGTTGTTTAAAGGAGGTGAAGAGTTGAATAAAACTATCAGTATGATCAAGAGTTTGCAACCTTGAAGTTCAGATACAGTGGATTCACTATCCACTGTATTTTCCTTTTTTATTTGTGGGTGAAACTGTTTTCACTGAAATGTTTCATTTAATCTTGGTTTACTCTAGTGCACACATGGTACCTCATTATTTCTCTAATTTGATGTATATAATAAGGCTCGATCTCTAATCTGCAGGCAAAGGGGAGTAGTTGGGGAGCTTTACATGACTCCAGGATTTCATTTTATATATGAAATTTGAAAAATAGATTTAATGAAAACTAAATTAGCTTTTCAGTGAGGTAATGATCTAAGAGTGAAGTATGCAACAGACCTGATGTTAATTCAATATAAAACTTGATTAAGGGCAAGTTTTTTCTCAGTTTCTGTGTTGAAAAAAAACAACAGCAGCAATTTTCTACTTTTACTTACTATGTCTAAATTATATTTGCCAGAGACATTGTATGTTCTGCTTGATTTGGTTTTCTTAACCATTTAAATGGCAGACATTTTTTAGATTCTGTAATACAGTGTATTCTAATTTAGGGCATGCTGTCAGAAAATTAATGTAATGGCAGCTTGAAACTCGCTATTCATCATGACCCTACTCGGAATAATCACAGTTTTTGGTTTTCACATGTCTGCTGCCAGCTTACATGGTTTATAATTTGCTTTTCTTGTAACTTCTTTTCTTTTTTTTAAATTTATTTTAATATATTTTAATTTATTTATTTTTTATTTCTAGGAGAGAGAGAGAGACAGCGTGAGCAGGGGAGGGTCAGAGAGAGAGGGAGTCACAGACTCTGAAACAGGCTCCAGGCTCTGAGCTGGCAGTCAGCACAGAGTCTGACTCGGGGCTCGAACCCACGAACCACGAGATCATGACGTAAGCGAAAGTCGGACGCTTAACCGACTAAGCCACCCAGGCGCCCCAACTTGTAACTTCTTTTCACTGAACCTGAAAACTGCTTTTTTTCAAGGCTCTATGAAAAGAGTTGAAACCCTGGCTTTGGTCCCATGTCTGCAATAGACTGCCGTTGGAAAGCCATTTAAATGTTTAGAATCTCAATTTCCTCATTTTAAAAATGGGAGTATTAATGTCTTTGCTGCACATTGCGGTGTTATTGTTGTTGTTGTTATTTTTGAAGACCAGTTGAGATAATGGGTGTCATTGACAATTGTCGAGATCTAAAAATGTGCACTTGCTTTATTATTTCACACCTATGGCGGCCTTTTACAAGTATGATTTAAGGCTTATTATTGTTCCATTTGTCCCAGTTATTGCAAATAATTTATAGTATTTACTGGAAAGAGCATGCGGGCTTGTAGTCTAGCTTCTATTTATTAGCTATGAGGCTTTGCAGATTAACCAGCATGGGTTTGCTCTCCTTGTCTATGAAATGGGGTAATATGTTCCTGGCAGGGTTAGATGTAATGTAGGGAAAATACTGAAAAAAGTACGTCTTATGTTCTACAAATATTTATTTAGATAAAATATGGGTTATAAAAGCGATGATTCAGATACATGCAATTATAGTCTCTCTCTAATTTTCTTTTCAGTGCAACTAATGTTGGTGATTCTTTATGCTAAAAAATGTTAGCTGTTTATATATGGCCTCTGGAATGATTTGGAGGTGTGGTTCATCTAGCCCTTAAACACGTGTGTGTGTGTGTGTGTGTGTGTGTGTGTGTGGTGTTAGGCTTGTAGTGGTTGTTTATGAATCTGTATAACATCCAGCATTTGAGATAGTAGGGTCGATGAACCTCCCCCTTCCGCCCCCGCCCGGTACAAAATCTGAAAACTAGAGAACAGTTTTATACCAAGAAGTTGTATCCTCTGTTTTCTCATGGCTGTATCACACTTTAAACACTTTTGTTTGAGTAACAGGTAATTTCAGACATTAATGACTTGACTTTTATAGAAGCTTTCTAGAAGGAAAAGCAATAACTGACAGTTCTTTCCATGAACAGAATGGCCACAGTTACTGAATATTTGTATGTATACATATACATGTAGTGATTATTGCTTATACTGAACTGTTTTTCTCCTAGTCACCCAATGAAACAATGAACTTTTAACTGTTCTCAGAAACAAGTGTAGAGAACAGGCTCTTTCTGAAAGTCAGATCTTTCATATACATGGTGAAACCTGAGGAAATCTTGACCTTGATTTTGAAGATTCAGGACCAATCACCTAATCTTTACTAGAAGATTGATATCCACAAGGCCTGTTTTAAAGCTCGCAGTCTACAGTTGGTCTCCTCCAGCATGGGTTGGGTCAGGGGCACACAGTGGCATCACAGCCTCAGCATAGAGATCGGGCATCAGTCTGCCAACTTCTTCTTTGCTGGAGGTTGGCAAGGACCTTCCTGAAAGAGCTGTGTTCTCCCTTCCCTCAGGAGCCCAGCCTGTCTGTCCATCCTGTTCACATGTGTACGATGAACTGACTGGCTTCTGTGCTTGGTCCATGAGCTCCCAGCAAATTTTCCAACTGAGAATAGGACTTACAAGAAGAGATCTCCATGAAAGAAAAAAGAAAAAAAAAACTTGCTTATACTTCACAACATTTTCAATGTTAGGATTTACCTTTCTTAAGACACATTAGAACATTCTATACTTTTAGTGAGGTTGTGATTGTTGCTGTAGAAATGTTGTAAGAATACTCAGAAGCAGAGAAGAAAAGACATTTTTTTCATGTGACCACTGGGAAGTGGTAAAGCTTCCTTCTTTAACATCTGTTCTTCTTGCTAGTCCGTTCGGACAAGCTCCATTTGGAGTCATGGTCGGTTGCATAGGTCATTCTCTTAGGTAGCGTGGGCAGATTGGGGAGAATCTACAGGCTGGAGTTTGCGGGAATGAGATGCCACTTCTGTGCTCTTTCCAGTAGACCACCGCATATGATTGAGGCTGGTTGAACAACTGTCTTTACCCGTCTGTGCCAATTTGTATTTTTCCATAAAGATTCCCAATTTATTTGTTACGCTCACACTTAGTCTTTTCTAGGATCAAATACACTTCAGGAGATTCCCTTCTGGTCAATTTCTTGCCCACTTGAGGCTTTGATGTTGGGAAACTCTTGTTCTTTATTGTAAGTAAATCCCTGCTTTTAAGGACAAATGCAGGATTCGTGAAGGCGGAGAGAATCGAGGAACAAACTGAATAGCAGGACAAGATCTGACAACTTAGGGTGTCCACGCCACGGAGAGTTTTTTCCATTGACCCTCAGTGTTAATTGAACAAAACAAATGCCTCCTAGTCTGGAGGCATTTAAACCGTCAGTTACCAAACTAATAAAGAAAATTCCTAGAATGCTTTTCTTAATCTCCCACCCTCCAAATTACTCCTCATTAAAATCTTTTGTAATATTTCAATAGAATTTCTGTCTTGCATATTGCAGCTACATGTGTGGGTCTTGGAGGAATTTTTCCTAATTGAGTTACAAGACTGGAACGACGCAACGGTGCATTTACGTTACAGTTTGGTCATCTTTACAATTTGGTCTTTGTCGATATTGACCGATGTTTATGTGTATTCATCCCACAAATACTTATTGAGGGCCTACTGCGTGGCTCACACCACTCTGGGCTCTATGAATGCAGAGGAGCAGACGCCCAAGGGGTCTGCCCTCCTAGAGCTTACATTTCAATATGGGCAACAGACGGGAATAGGAAGAAGCACAAATAACCTTTAGCCGGGGGTGGTAAGAGATGGGGAGAAAATAGGGAAGGCAAGGGATTAGAGACCCCATGGAGGTGGGTGGTCAGGGAAGGCACTGTGTGTGCACCTTCTGGATTATGTGACAGTGAGCTCTGTAAAAGCTGGGGAGGAACATTTTAAGGAGAGGGCCAGGAGACCTGACCCTGTGAGGTCAGCAGTGTGGCAGGGAAGAAGGAGGAGCTCAGAGGCCTTGGGGAGGACTTTGAGGAATTTTCTCAGTGCATTAGAAATCCCTTGGAGGGTTTGAGGGATATGGTCTGAGTTCCTTAGTTAAGCATAACTCTGGGTGGAGAATGGGCTAACGGGGAGGCAGGGAGCCCCACAAGACTTGTCTGTGTGTGCAGCCGCTCCCTTGGGTGGGATGAAGGCAGGGACTAGCTGCGGTGTGCAGCCACTGCAGGTAAGATTGCACCCTGCATGTATGTGGCTGTTGGGCTGACAGCCTTGGAATGGCTGTGGAATGGGAGGGAAAGAGGAGGGCGAGAGACCCCTCCTGGGTTTCTCCTGAACCCACAGTGTATTCATGCTGATGCCAGAATCAAGTGGAGATAGGAAATAAAGCCCCAGTGAATGGAAACACCCAAACCCAATGTGTATTTGACTCATGCAAAAGGTCGTATCTTTGAAATTGAGTTGCATAGTGAGTGCTGAGATTTGTATCGTGGTACAGAGGTTTTAGGAGACATTTGCAGATATGTTATAATTCCAGGGCAATTCAGTTATGACCCTACTAAAGTGTATGTCCTTTGAAGGCGGGCTCTGTCCACCTCCTCTTTATACCTAGATGGTGCCTTAGAGATACAGGTTTAGGTCAACATTTGGTTTGAACCTACAGGTTTAGTTATCTACAGAGCTGATTTCATTTAAGATTATGATTATGTAAGAAAATATTTGGAGTGGAATAAATGCTGTCAGGCTGCAGTGAATAATCCATCCTGGTTTGTAGTTTCTGGATCCATGAGATTTGAACAGACATCTGAGGATATTGTCTCATGTGACCGTTTCCAGAGGTCCTGTCACACAGGTGTGGCCCTAGGCTGGTGGGTGAGTGTACAGGTGGTTAATATTTAGTATTGCTGGCTGAGCACAGGGAGACGGGAGACACCATCCTTGTTCTGGTGGCTTATAAATCAACTCCATCTGGCTTGTGCAGGATGAACTGGATGAACTCCGTGCTGAGATGGAAGAGATGAGAGACAGTTACTTAGAGGAAGATGTTTACCAGCTGCAGGAGCTTCGGCGAGAGCTGGACCGTGCTAATAAAAACTGCCGAATCCTGCAGTACCGCCTCAGGAAAGCAGAGCAGAAGAGCCTGAAAGTGGCTGAGACTGGTCAGGTGGATGGCGAGCTCATCCGGAGTCTGGAGCAGGATTTAAAGGTGAGTGAGCTGATGAGGGGTGTGTGTGTGTGGGGGGGGGGGATGTACTTATTCCCTGAAGGAGCTGCAGGGGTGGGGGCAGGATCACCAGTCTGAGACTGCAGCCCTCAGACCCGCTCACACAGGGTCCTGATGTCCTGGTGGTGTTTTTCTCTCAATGTTAAGCTTTCAGCATAAACATTCTTCCTTCCCCTTGTGGCTTATAGGGTATATGTAATCATGTGGCTTTGACAGCCCAAGATTTAAACCTGTCATATGAACTGGAATCTCAAAACCTAAGAAAAAGAAATCATAGTAAGGGGTCTACAATTAAAAAATAAATAAAAGAATTAATATCTGCCACTTAGTCTGACAGTTGTGTAGAATTATACAGAAATGCCCTCTAAAGATCTGGGACATTAAAAAAAAATATCTATTGATTATCAATTCAGTGATGGTCAAAGGCCACTCATAAAGGTTGACTGTAATCTCTTAACGTTTTTATTGTTACTTAAGTTTCTAGAATGCAGAGAACCTGAAATGACTGACCATAACCCAAGTGTAGAGGTTTTTTTTTTTTTTTAATTTTTTTTTTAATGTTTTATTTATTTCTAGGAGAGAGAGAGAGAGACAGCGTGAGCAGGGGAGGGTCAGAGAGAGAGGGAGACACAGACTCTGAAACAGGCTCCAGGCTCTGAGCTGGCAGTCAGCACAGAGCCCGACGCGGGGCTCAAACCCACGAACTGCGAGATCATGACCTAAGCGAAAGTCAGACGCTTAACCGACTAAGCCACCCAGGCGCCCCCCAAGTGTAGAGGTTTGATTTAACGGAAGGAGAAATAGGATCATCACTAATTGTCTAAAGCTAATTGTCTAAGGTGTTTTTGAGAACCACTGGCAGAAGTGGGAATGAGGTGAAGAAATTCCAGACTTTCTACCATTTGCTCTCTCCATGGGTAGTGTGGCTTCTCCTGTGCTGTGATTATCAAATCATTTATCAAGAGATGAATTATGCATAATGTCCTCCTCATTATGGGAGCACTTATGAAATCTCATTTCGCCTTTCATTATGATAACAGGAAAAGAATCTTTGTAATTCTATCAAATCTATAAACCACTAACAAAATGTCATTCAGTGGGATGTAAAGGTGATTTATATTTCTTTTGCAAAATCTCTTTCCTGGTTTCCTTTTGAAAGGTAAAAACGTTTAAGCACTTTCAACATTCAGATATTTTACTTTAGTAGACAATTTAAAACTTGACTGTATCATCTTACAGAATTATTTTGATTTTTTTTTTTTTAGCAGGTCGGTTTGATATTGTCTTAGGGAACAGAAATATTGATTGATTGGTTGGTTATTATTATTATTATTTCTAGTTTATCATTAAAGCATGTGTGCCTGGGCAGAGTTGGCATTCTTGGTGATACTCTGTAAGGAGGTAGGGCTATTCACGGCAGCCTTTTAATCCAGATAAAGGTTGTATCCTTGCTCGTAATGTGGATTTCATGTTTGAAACTAATACCCTCCTCCTTTAAAGATAGGCTTGTTAATATTGTCAGGGTCTTCGCCCTTTACTGTGATATCGTATCACTTAATGATTCTGCTTCTAAAGTTGTTCGAATGTGCCTTTGGCACACAGAAGCTTCACCTTCTGATGACTATCTCTGTTGGTTGATACAGGTAGCCAAAGATGTGTCTGTCAGATTGCACCATGAACTTGAAACCGTGGAGGAAAAGCGTGCTAAAGCTGAGGATGAAAACGAAAGTCTCCGACAGCAGATGATTGAAGTAGAAATATCCAAGCAGGCCCTCCAAAATGAGCTGGAGAGACTGAAAGAGGTAATCCCAAAATGTATGGGGCTTTCTTTCGTGGGTTTAATTGTTAGGGGTTTGGGACGCCAGGTGTCCCATTCGGTGAACTATGATTTATATGTATGGCCCAGAAACTGAGAATGGTTTTTACATTTTTCATAGCCTTGTAAAACAACAACAACCACACAAAAATAAACCTAACAAAGCAAGGAAGACTGTGACAAAGACAGTATGTTGCTCGCAAAGCCTAAAATATTTGCTGGCTGGCCCTCTACAGAAAAGGCTTGGTGAACCGTGGTCTAAAGCTATTTATATATATATATATATAATTTCCATTCAGATGAGCTGGCCATTAATTTCTCTTATGGGTCCAAATGGAGTATATTATTACTAGAATATAAAATTAAGCAGTAGCTTTTTTTCTCGAGTCTTCTTTTCCAATAAGCTGGAAAATATGTTATGGTTGTCTATTAAAGCTGTGTAAACAAATAATAGGTGTATGCCCCCTATAGCTATTACTTAGCCAGCATGGTTTAAATATAGGTTTTTTTCTTTTTATTTTAGGGAGTGAATGTATTCTAGCACAGCGATCTAGAAAATGAGTATGTGTGTATGTATATGTCTATATGTATATACATATGTATATTTCCTTTGCATACAGTACTGCAAATCCTGTTTTGTTGTTGGCTTCCATTATAAGATTAAAGTTGCATATTTTTGGGGGTGCCTGGGTGGCTCAGTCAGTTAAGCGTCCGACTTCGGCCCAGGTCATGATCTCATGGTTCGTGGGTTTGAGCTCCGTGTAGGTCTCTGTGCTGACAGCTAGCTCAGAGCCTGGAGCCTGTTTCAGGTTCTAGGTCTCCCTCGCTCTCTGACCCTCCCCTGCTCATGCTGTCTCTCTTTCTCAGAAAAAAAAAAAATTAAAGTTGCATATTTCCTTGGAAGGTATCCTGCGTATTGATGGAGTTAAAAGCTATTGGTTAAGGCTTTACGGTGATGGCTAAAATCAGCATTATTACCTGTTAATAGCCTCACTTAGTTCATTTTCTCTTTGGAGAAGTTTCCTGATTTACAAAATCAGTCTTCATCCGTCCAGGTGTCCACCTGGCCACACTTAATCCTGGCTCTGTACCAGGCCCCGGGGGCTGCAGCTATGAAAATGACAGAACAGCTTCTGCTACCAAGATGTTTACAGTTCAACTTGACATGTGGATAGCAAAACAAATACATCACAGCAAAGGAGCTGGTGTGGCCATCTTTCTGCTTCCCCACCCCCTTCCCCTCACAGCCGCTCAGGTGCCCTGCTGTTCTTCAAGTCTGGGAGTGAGGGGCGGTGGCCAGCACTCTTTCTCCAGAGATCCACACCCCTGGGACTCAGTCCCTCACCTGCTGACATCTCACCTCAGCCACCTTCCCCTCTATACTTGCGTGTTCAAGTTGCCCCCCCCCTCCCTGGCCATCCCCATCTGGCTTCCCATCTGACACATTATAGATTTGGGTCAATTACTTGTATATTGCCAGCACTCGTCTGAAAACATTGTGGATTTTATTTCTTTATTATTATTATTATTATTATTATTATTTTAAATGTTTTATTTCTTTCTAGGAGAGAGAGCGAGAGAGAGAGAACGTGAGCAGGGGAGGGTCAGAGAGAGAGGGAGTCACAGACTGAAACAGGCTCCAGGCTCTGAGCTGGCAGTCAGCACAGAGCTCGACGCGGGGCCCGAACCCACGAACCGTGAGATCATGACCTAAGCGAAAGTCGGACGCTTAACCGACTAAGCCACCCAGGCACCCCTGTGGATTTTATTTCTTTGGCACCTTCACTAATGTGCCTACAGGACTTGAGCTGTGTGGGAAGAGGATTTGTCTGTGTAGTTCACTGTGGGGTCCCTGTGCCGAGAACACTGCCTCACACTTAGGCAGTGGCAGCATCAGGGGATCACAAGGTGGGGGGTGAATGAAGGGCAAGAATGAGGAGCTATGGTGACCACAGCTTACCTAGGGACGCAGTGAGCTTCACAGTGGAGGAGGTAGAATCTGAGAACCTTCTTTCTTCATGGGTAACCCTTGCTTCTTAACCTACACATACACCTACCCCTATAACTGGGGGAATTTCTCCTCTCCTTCTGGGCCTCCTACCTCTACTAGTAATTTACTTCCTTCTTTCTCCTTTTTTTTAAAGTTTATTTTTGAGAGAGAGAGATGGAAAGCAAGGGAGGGGCAGAGATTGGGGAAGAGAGAGAGAGAATCCCAAGCCGGCTCTGCACTGGTGCAGAGCCCGATGCTAGGCTTGGCCCCACGAACCACGAGATCATGACCTGAGCTGAAATCAAGAGTCCAAGAGTCAGATGCTCAACCGACTGAGGCACCCAGGTGCCTTTCTTTCTCCTTTCTTTCTCCTTTGACCTAAGTTTGCTGGAAGGTTTGTCATAATAGTTTCTTTCCTCAAAATTTCCAGTTTGAGCCTTACCTTGAGGATATAGAAAACATCTTAGAAGTATATTTTACAAGCTTTATAAGTGTGTATGCTTACCTACAAGTATAAAAGTTATATATACACGTAAAAAAAAAAAAACAAATATATTTAAAGCAAACAAAGCTTCTCTTGCACACATCAGTGGATTTGTCTAGGACTTGGCATCAGGTCACAAACCGCTCCTGAGGGAGAAGAAATGATTGCTGACATTCAAAGCCAGGCAAGGGTGAGGCGAGGGTCTTCAGACACCCGTGATGTTGGCTCAGATTGGATGCATGCAGAGGAGGTGCCAGGGCCAGCCTCTCCCTTCCACTATGGGTTAAAATTACTCACAGAGATTGCTCGATTGGGATGCCATCAGTATTTTACCTCCAAGTTGCAGTCAGGCTCGTCCGACTAACTAGACCTCTAAATGAATCGGAAGAACTGATGGGAGTCTGAGGAGGGTAGATGCGGTAGACTGTGCTGGAGGCAGCGAATGACGAGACCAGGCAATCCAAGGTCCAGAGGTGGTGGAGGAGATATTTATTGCGAAGTGCCAGCTGTAGTCTCTATGAATGGGTACTTTTACCGATGCCAGAACAGAATACGCCATGAGCTTTGCTCTCAGGTGAGGATACCATTTTCTCAATCTTGAGTTTTGCTCGCTATTAAATTTCACCTCTGAAATTTCATAAATGGATAAGTCACGTTCTGGAAAAGGCCAGGAGAGTTCATGCGTTTCATGTATCTCTAAGGGACAGAAGTAGTTGTGAAGGACTGTGCACCCCGTGTCCCCTCAGCCTCAGAGGATGGTGAAACAGCTCATCTCTGTGCCCCTTCTGCTCTGTAGCTGCCGCCGGGGCTTCTCTCTAAAGATTTAGACTCCCTTTTCAGCTACCTGGTGGACGTCCCCAAGATGGATTTCTCCTAGCGTATCCAGAAACAGACTTGCCACCCTCATCCCCACCTGAATCCTCTCCGTCTTTCCCATTTGTGTTAATGGCACCACTGTCCTGTCACTCAGGCTTAAGCAATGGCAATTATCCTTAACCTCTCTTACTGCTCACACTGAGGTCGCCTGTTTTGGCTTCAGGTTCTGCTCTTCCCCTTTTGCTGTCTTAGGAAAATTTTTAGACTCTCTGTTCTATCCATACTTTGACCAGTCTTCTCTTAAGTGACTATTTGAGGGCTGACTCTATGCAATCAACACATTAAAGGCAGGTACTACTTGTGGTTTCTCCCTTCTCTGTTTTATCTTCTATGTTCCCCTAAATCTGACAGTGTGACTCTGCTTAAACACACAAACTTGCTCCGGCTCCCAATTGTCTAACTCGTTAGCGTGACACAGAGGACCCTTCCTGCTGGAGACCATCCCTGTCTCCCAGCTGGAGTTCCCACTCCACTACTGTAAACCCTGGAGTGGAATAAAAGGCAGCAGAGCATGATGGGAAGAATCTGTGCCCTTTGATCCCCTTTGAACTAACAGAGTGGGTCTTAGAAAAGTCACTCTCTCCATTGATAGATAAATAAGATGATTAAAGAGTGTTGGCGATATGAAAGCATTCGGAATTACCCCTTCTGGTTAGCTAGTTTGCTCTCCTGCTTCCTTGTGCCTATCCACATCCTGGTTGTGCACCCAGCACTCATATACTCCTCCACTTGTTCAAGCTCAAAACATTTTTGTATTTTTGGGGGTGTAGTTTTCTTCTAGTACTCAACTCTGTGATGGAACATCTCAATTGGCTGAAAACAGTTAATCTTAGGTTGGTTTCAACTTCTTAAAGATGGTCCAAATGCTTCCTCTGAACAGTATTTCATTGTACCAAAAATATTTTGAGTACTTATTGTATGTTATTATATGTTAGACACAGTAATAACTGGCCAAGTTAGTTGGCACTTGCAAGGGACAGGGACATGTTCTAGATCATTCCAGGCAACTGGGATTTTCTTTTTCTTATTGAGGTATAATTGACCTCACACATTATATTAGTTTCAGGTTGTACAGCATGATAGTTCAATATTTGTACATATTGCAAAATGATCACCAAAATAACTGGTTAACATTCATTTACTAAACACAGGTACAAAAATTTTTTTCTTGTGATGACAACTTCCAAGACCTACTCTCTTCGCAACTTTCAAATATGCAGTATTGTTAATTATGGTCATCCTGCTATACAATACATCCCATAACTTATTTATTTTATAACTGGAAATTTGTATCTTTTGACTGCCTTTGCCTCTTTTACTCATCCACAGTAGGGATTGTTGAATGAAGCTGCAGAGAACTAACTAGCAGTCCGATCACTCTCCTGGGACATCTTTCAGTACCATTCAGGATATGATATTGACTCTCTGGGTTTGGTTGAGATTTCTTTTGTGCCTAGTAAAAATGGTTCAAATTTTGTGGCTATTTCTTTGAGTGCTTGAGAGGAAAGGGTAAGCCTCAATTTTGGGGTGAAGACTAAATTTGTTAGCTTGAAGACTCAAACTTTGTAACTCATAGCAAGTAGTACATTTTGTATCATCACTCAAAATGCAAACATAAAAGGTTTCACAAAACAGT